CAATCGCCTTCAGGTATAACAGTGTGCCTTGTGTAGTGGGGACCTTCTCTGTTGGTGTTTTTTAATTTAATTTACACATCCTTTCTCTAGACGCAGCACTGTCTAACTCACTTTTCTGCCCACAGGCCTGTGCTTGCTTTCCGCTTGGCTTCTGCTATGTGCTGTGGACAGAGGAAAGGGGATATGCCTCTTTGGTTTTGACTGAACTTTGCTGTCTTTGCACAGCTTATATGAACTGTACGCTATTTTGTACACTTACTCTGTATGGATGTTTTATACCAAGGTTATTGTGAATGACTGTAGCAATGGCTGAATAAGGTTTCCTTTTTTTTTTTTTCAATTAAATGATAGCTGAACTACAAACAAATGCAGCTGCTTAAACGTGTAACTTATAAAGAAACTTTTATGTTGTATTTTACCATGTACAGACTTTAAATATGTGTATATATAATAAAATGAATGACTACCAAATAAAAGAATGTAGATTTCCAAGCTCGGCCATTCAGCAATGCATGCATCCCATTTGCAGGTTGGTGTAGGTTGAGTCTGGGACCAAATAGGGAAACAAAATAAAACCATTTTTTAGCAACACTGCAGTAATTTGATAAGGTAAGGCAAACAAAGATAAGGGCCTGTTCTAAGAAAATAATGTTCATAAGACAAAGCTGAAGCAAGGCATCTGAACATCCCTTTGCTTAATTTTAATCAGCCACTGCAGTATGAACTACAGCACCTGCTGATTTCCAGTACTTGGGCTATTCACATAAATACATGCAAAAATAGCACAGAGATGGAGTCAGTGATCTAACAGTTAAGAAAAAAGAGAAAAGAAGAAAAAAAAAGGTGCTTTTAATTAAGGTCTGCAGAACTGGCTACCTTTGTACCTAAAAGATTGTGCAGCTTGGTGGCTCCATGGGCCCCAGCTCATAAGCTAGAGGTAGAAGAGGCAATGCTGGTTACTTATACTTACTTTACTACGCAATGGACCTTGCAAAGCCAAAAGAACTCACATCCAAGACTGACCTGTTTTCTGATGTAATATTAAAAGCCTGGGGCTGACAATAATCAAGATATACCACCTGGCCATGGTAAGCATCAGCTCAATTTTCCTTCCCCTTCTCATAGCTCCTCAGCACAAGCAAGCTATGTTTGCATTTTTTGTGATATTTTGAGGGGAAAGACCAAGAGAACACCGGCAAGATGAGGGGCTGAGCAGGACAGTATTTCTGGGGAAAAGAGAACAACATAAAACTCAGGTCAGACTCGGGAGCTCGCAGCCTCTGTGTGGCGATTCAGGCAGAACAGGGAGGCGATGAGGCTGGAGCAATGTCAGCTGTGCAGCAGCCAGGGCAGAGGAAGATGGTGGCTGCCCAGCACCAGACGATGCAGCAGGCAGCCCTTCCATTCCTACACACAGGCTGACAGTGCTGCAGCTCAGCACGGTCTCACTCCTGGCTGTGTTTCCCCTTCTCCCCCACTGAACACACTCTGGGCCAAAGTGATTGCTGTGAAACACAGAAGATTGCAGAAAATCGATCTGCTTTCTTGATTTGCTCTGATTTCAGCTGATCTAGCATCTGGTGCTGCCTCACCTGTGAATCAGACATAAAACGTCCAGCTTGGGTGGAAAAAGAGGGCTAAAAGAGCATCCCTTCTGCCAGCTAGTGCTACTCCACGACCTTCATTGTGCATCTTCAGGGCGGCTGCTTTTTTTGACCACAACTGAATCTGATATAAATGAATAAAATCCTTCAAACTCCAAAATAAAGGACTTTGAACGGGGGAAAAATTTCAGGGCTGTTTCTCAGCTGACGAGCCGAGGAGTGGAGCGTGAGCGCAGCCCGCTGGGCACATGAGGGCTGGCTGCCATGGGGCTCAGCATCCCTCTTTAAACACACACTCTGCAGACTGACTGCATAAAGTGATCCCAGGGAATTTCCCCTTCCAGTGCAGAAAAGAAGTCAGCGCTGATCCTGAGGCACCGAGAAATGATGTGACGAGGTGGAGCTGGGCAGGACATAAAGTAGGAATAAAATAGGATGTTGGAAACAGAATAAAGGTTAAGGGAGGAGTGAGATGAAGCAAAAAATATGTGAAGATTAACATACAAGAGAGCATGCATAAGAGAAAGAAAGAACATGGGGAAAGGGTGTGGGAGGTTGAAAAAGGGAAGAAAGAGGAGTTCCTGAGAGAGATTAAGCATTTTGGTGCCGGCCCAGTATTGATTCACTGTCCAAGGTCAGGACTGAAGTGCCTTAAGGGGCCAACCCTAAAACATGCAGTTCTCTGCATTACCAAATATGGAAACCCATTAGAGCTTGCCCAAAATTATTCCTGCTTCTGGAAAACTGCTGCTAAGGGATAAGTGAAACCCCATTGCTGACAATCCGCTCTGACTTAATTTGCACTGCTGTACTATTAAAATAAATGGCAACAGTTCAAGTTCAGGGAACGCTTAGATGCTGTCAAGAGACATGGTTAAGTGAGAACTGTTGGTGATGGGTGGATGGTTGGACTGGTTGATGTGATAGGTCTTTTCCAACTTTGGTGATTCTGTGATTCTATGATTGCGACTCAGAAGGAAAAAGTAAAGAGAAGGGGAAAAAACAGGCAGCAGAACAAGACAGCCTACAAAAAAAAAAAATTCCTCCAGAAGACTTAACAACTACCCATGAACAGCCAAGGCATTTTCTTCTAAGCCCTAGCTGACATCACTCTCTAGGCTTGTCACGAGATGCAGGCAAGTCCAATAGGCGAATCACCTTTCTCAGTTGTCCTGCAAATACCTACCAGTAAAATATCTCTTTTATTGTTTTGAGAACAAATTATTAAGACAGTTAAGCAGGCTATCGGCTTTGCATGAGACCCTGGAGCAGGTCCAGAGAAGGGCAGAGGAGCTGTGAGGGATCTGGAGCACAAATGTGATGGGGAGCAGCTGAGGGAACTGGGATGGTTCAGTCTGGAGAAGAGGCACAGGGGAAACCCTGTCACTCTCTACAACTGCCTGACAGGAGGTTGTGGCGATGTGGGGGCCCTCTTACCCCAGGTCACAGCAGTAAGACACGAGGTGATGGCCTCAAGTTGCACAAGGGGAGCTTCGTGTTGGATATTAGGAAATATTTCTCCTCAGTAAGAGCGGTGATGCAGTGGAACAGCTGCCCAGGGAGGTGGGGGAGTCCTCACAGTTCCACAGTTCCAGAACTGCGGGGATGGGCAGTGGGCATTGGGGGTTGGGGATCTTAGTGGTACAGTGTCTCAGGGCTGCTGGTATCTTTTCACAATAAACAACTAAAACTCACCATCTTCAAATGGAAAATGTCAATTAAGAAGGGGGCAAAAAGTTCAGGGAAACCACAAATCTGAATAAATAAGCATCAATTTTATTGAATCATGAATAATTTAAGACTGGTACAATCATCAGCTTTATTCTCCATGACACAGGGGTGCGGGAAGGGGGAGAAACGGGGAGGGGGAGGAAGGGGAGGCATGATCTCAAACAGACCATTCACAAATTCCAATCCTAAATGAGAACTGAAAATTAAATAGGGAGAGGAGCAAATGGAAAACATCATAAACGTACACAAAATACTCGATTCCTAGTTTTTCTCTTTAAAAATGGCTAGAAAAAATTCATCAAAATGCAGCACTTTTAATCAAATATTTACATTTCTATGTTACAATGAAAAAATGTACATCTTATAGAACATATTTCATAAACTGCTCCACTGGAAACGACTAGATCAAAACAGCAACCTTCCATTTAATATTGACAAAGAAAGATTATTTTTTTTGCTTAGTTTTTTTTTTTTTTTTTTTTTTTTTTTTTTTTTTTTTTTTTT